TGGATTTCATGGTGCAAAAATTAATGCCCCCCAGGAGCTGAAGTCACTACCAATTATTTCTTCTGAACCTGTAGCATAATCCCACGCTGCTGTGACCAATGAAAGTTTTGTCATTCACTTAAAGGGAAGTTGGATCTGTTCCTTGGTTTGCTACTCCAGCAAGTGACACCATAGATGCTGTTTTGACTTCTAATAAGGAAAAGATACTATGAAGCAGTCTCATGGATTTTATTCCCTGACAAAACTGAAAGCAATATATCGATGATAATTGTAACTACAGATAAAGTCACCATTAGAATTATATGCCTTTTTCAACACTAATTTCGAGAGTACTTTTCAGCAACAATAAAGGTAAAAAGCCTGTATTGTTGCTCACGGACCCTACTCAGCCCTTCATTCCCTTCCCCACTCTAGAACCCACAGAAGCATCCCTACGAGTCATCTGGCACACATGCATCACAGCAAACTCACAGCACACATACAAATTGCCTCCCACTAGGCACTTGACCCAGTAAATTCCTTTTACATGCCTGTAACAGAAAAGCACTGGCAAACAAATAAAGTGAAAAAAACAAGCTGCGTATGTATTCTGGTGGCCAACAAAGTTGACCATAGGTCACACATGCCACAACTCTAGCTTTCAAAATAATTAACCAAATCTCTGAGTTTTAATTCCTCTGAAAAGCATGGAATAAGTCTGACAATATCTTTGACAAGGCTCAGCCAAGCGTAATGGCGCACAGTAAATACAACAAGCTGTTTTCACATGTAGATTTTCAGTAACATACCAAGGAAGCCCATAAACAACATACACTGCATTATGATAGCTATCCACTGGCATTCAATTTAAGTGACCATGCCCCTGTTACTTGTACTTGAGACAGACTGCTTCACTTCTGTTTCACACTTCACACCAAAAGGCTCAAGACATGCCATTTATTTGAGAGAAATGTAACTAACACACACGAACATTTCAAAAAAATATGGTTTGATTCACTGATACTATGAAAACCAGAAATCAATCCCAACAATAACTCATATTGTGGTGGCTTGACCTTGGCTGGATGTCAGGTGCCCAAAGCCACTCTATCACTCCCTCTCCTCAGCTGGACTGGGGAAAGAAACAAAAGGCTTGTGGCTCGACAAAATGACAGGTAGAGATCACTCACCAATTACTGTCATGAGCCAAACAGACTCGACTTGGAGAAATTAGTTTCAGTCAATTGAAACAGAGAAAGTTAATGAGAAATAAAACCAAATCTTAAAACACCTTCCCTCCATCCCTCCCTTCTTACCAGGCTTAACTTTACTCTCAGGAAGTTTTCTCTACCTCCTCCCCTCCAGTGGCACAGGAGGACAGGGAATGGAGCTTGTGGTCAGTTTATCACCTTGTCTCTGATGCTCCTTCCTCCGTAGGGGGAGAACTCTTCACACTCCACCCCTGCTCCAGCATGGGGCCCCTCCCACAGCAGACAGTCCTCCACAACCTTTTCCAATGTGAGTCCTTCCCACAGGACTACAGTTTGTCATGACCTGCTCCAGCGTGGGTCCCCCTATGGGGTCACGAGTCCTGCCAGCAAACCTGCTCCAGCATGGGCTTCCCACGGGGTCACAGCCTCCTTTGGGCACCCATCTGCTCTGACACGGGGTGCTCCCCGGGCTGCAGGTGGAGATCTGCTCCACCATGGCCCTCCCTGGGCTGCAGGGCACAGCCTGCCTCACCAGGGGCTTCACCAGGGGCTGCAGGGGAATCTCTGCTCCGGCGCCTGGAGCACCTCCTCCCCCTCCTGCTTCACTGACCTTGGTGTCCACAGGGTTGTTTCCCTCACATTTTCTCACTCCTCTCTTCGGCTGCAGTTGTGCAGGCTTTTTTTCTGCCTTAAACATGTTACCCCAGAGGCGCTACCACAGTCGGTGATGGGCTCAGCTTTGTCCAGCAGTGGGTCCCTCTTGGAGCCGGCTGGCACTGGCTCTGTCAGACGTGGGGGAAGCTTCCAGCAGCTTCTCACAGAAGCCCCCCCTGTAGCCCTCCTGCTACCAAAACCTTGCTATGCAAACCCAATACACTTATGAAATATTTTCAAAATTCTAATACATAACATTCTTTAATATACCAAAGGCCATCACTCTGCAGAAACTGCCAGTTTGCACTGTAACCTGTCCTTAACAGACAGAAGTCCACATCAAGAACCACAATGGAAAATAGAAGCCTGCTGTTACGATTTCTGTACCATGGCTCATGAGACTAGCAGGGAGCATGCCAACCATCCTGTCACTTAAAAAACTGGTGGCTCAAAGCAGCGGAGATTCATCTGAACAAATGAGCATAGACGCTGGTTCTTTCCATAGCTATATCTGTTCTGCAAATAAGGGTTCAATACTGTTTCTATTACCCTTTCAAAACCATTTTCCTTTAAAAGGGAAAGGAAAAGCCAGCAATCATACTTTCAGGAATATCTGCCAGTTGCAACATTACCCTGAAGTTAAACCTGTTAATTGCAGTCCAGAAGGGTTGGTTGTTTTGTTTTAAAAGTAAGTTTCAAAACATCTGTTGTCCATAACAGTTGTAAAAGTGAAAAGAAGCCTCTGCATAGATTCAGGACATTTGCATTAAAGTGAACATCAAGTCAGAGCAGCAATTCATAGTTTAAAGACATTTCGCTATCTTCATGCTGCCATTAACATGCAGCACCTACCCTGCCATATATTTGACAGCCTAAAAATTTTAAGAGGATGTAGCAAAAAGATTCATTAGGATATCTCTCAAGTTCACATGACTGATTTTACACAAAACTGTGATCAATAGGCAGCAACCTCTCCCCCTTCGCCCTCAGCTCACATGTACCTTCTTGCTTTCAATTCTAGTAAATAATTTAATGATTCTCTCCACAGAGAATTACCAAACGCATATTTTCTCTTCTCCTCTAACCCCTTTCAGCAAGTTCTGAAAATTTCCTCACATTTTTTACTAACCTAGGCATACTCAAAAACTAAAAACCCCACAAACTGCAAGAAGCTAGATCTGGGCCATGGGGTATCAGCACCGTACTCCTATTTCTGACCGTAATACAATACGTTGGGCTTGTCTTGCTGCAAGAGAAATACTAAGCCTGATAATTGTTTTGTTTTTTACTGATCAAGAAGAGGGTAACACCATAATAGCGCACTTCTAATTTAACATCATCTAGAATGACTTCTAACAAGCAGGGGGATAGAGGAACAGAAGGCAAAAACCAAAAGTAACATTACATTCCCCAAAGGGACAAACCAATAATTAAAAGTGAAATGAAGTGAATCCAGAAACAAAACACAAAAGGCAAGAAGTTTAACCAGTTATGACATGAAAACTGAGGAACAGATTTTCATTTGCTACACATTACTATTAGACAGAGTAGTCTCCATTACAAACTGTAATGTGAATCAGGATCTAAAGAACTTGCAATATCACTGTATGAAAACCTATAATAATGACAAAAAGGGTGTATATATAAATGCCCACAATAAGGAATTGTTTACTAAATCTAAGACAGTATATAATCTTCCTGACTACAAGATCTATTAGTTTGGTTTGAGCTTTATCAGTCTAGGTATTTAGAAGAAAACTAGACAGAACATCTAATACCAGTGAAGAAATGGCTAGGAGGGAAAACTGATATTTTGCCACCTTATGTCCTCTCCATGGGCAGATTTACCAAGTCCTAGGATGGCTATAAACTCCCTGAAAATGCTGTCACCCCCAGCCACAAGATGCAGCAGTGACTGCATAGCTTCAAAACTCTACCTCCTTCCCCCAAAACCTGCAGCAACAGCTGTCCCTACTTTCTCAAATCCTGTACATAATTTTACCTCCCAGTCCCTCCCTTCACTTTCCATATTGCAACCAGAACTGCAGTAACTTCTCAGCTGGATGGGCAAGACATGTTTATCACTTGCAAGAGCCTGAAATCAGTGCTGATCAGCTTGTAGCCACCACCAGCTGATGCTACATCACTGGTATATACAGCTCAGTCTCACACATCTCATACAGCTGAAGGACCTTGTCACGAATGACTACATTTTGCATACTTAAAAGCAAAATAAAACAAAAACGGAACTACTACATAACACAGCATATTTACTTGAACTGTTATAACTTAGTTTTAACTCTTGTTAAACCACACAAGTTACTCAAGTTAGTGCCGTAATATATTTAAATAAATTATCCAAATCAGGTGGTCTCAGGCTGAACCAAAGTTGTATATTCCCAGAGCAAAACTGGCCAAGAGCAGATGCTCAAGGACAGGTACAAGAACAAGACGAGCATGTCATTGCGTTTCCCTCGGACCTACAGGTCCCACAACCTCTAGAACTTGCAGCTCTGAGATCTGCTGAGCCAGCAGCGTGCTGCTGTGGTTAACCAATTTTTCTTCCACAACTAAAGCACTGCAAGCTGTTCTAGCAATAGTAAGAACTCACTGAAATATTTAAAAAGACTATGCTGCTGCAGGGCACTCTGAATTCCCAAACTCAGAGTGAGCAAACTCCTACAGCACCCGGCTCCAACCACCTCATCGGCTCCCTGAAGTTGTACCCAGACCCAGCTGTAGCTGTTCCACGGGCAAACATCAGAGGGTGCGCGGTCTCAGATGAAACAGGCCTCTGGGTACACACACACAGTTTTTCCTCCAGACTTCTCACACTGAGGAACTGTAGTCGTTTCCCACAAACAAAACAGACCTTCACAACACCCTCAAGAAAGCAGATTAGTATGGAACTGAATTACACTAGGAGCTGAGGTATACAACTCATTGGGACTTTGAAAGTCATAAATGTTCAAAAAAAGCACAGATTACAAACTTCATTTTAGCAACTGCTTTTGGTGGGGGTATTTTTTGTTTAGGTTGTTTGGTGTTTTTTTGTTTTGTTTTGGTTTTTTGTTTTTTTTTTTTTAAGTGTATTGCTACTATTCTGAGTACCTACCACAGTTTATTCTCACCTGCCACTAAAGACTCAGCACTGACCTGAGTTTGTTCTGGGCAGGCTTCACCTCAGGTACTCCACGCCACCCTCCCAGCTCTGCCCGCCTTCCCGGGAGACGGCTGTCCGGCCGGCCGGCTGTCTGTCCGTCCCTTACCCTCCCCGCTGAGCTGACAGCCTCCGAAGCGCCAAACCGCGCACCCCCCCCGCACGGGAAACCTGCTTCCCCGTCTCTCCAGCTACAGGGCGGGCGGTAGGTCGGGCAGGCCGGGGTCAGCCGACAGCCACGGGGCGGTAACGGTAACCCCGCCACGGGGCTGCGCCGGGGCGGCTGCCACGGCCCGGGCAGCTGGCGAGGGCGGGGGGGCGAGGGCCCGGCGGCGGCGGAGCAGGCCCCGGCGGCGGCCCGGCTCCCAGAGGCGGGGGGAGGCGAGGAGGCCGGGCAGGGCCGCTCGCCCGCGAGGAGGCGGCGGAGGGCAGAGCGGCCGCCACCCCCGCCGCCTCGGCGGGGCGGGACGCGCCGCCGCTGCCGAGCCCCAGCCGCAGAGAGACCGGGGGGGGGGGGGGGGGCGAGTTCAAACCCGAGCGCCGCGGGACAGCCGGGGCCACGCCGGGCCGCAGCCGCCGAGGGAAGCGCCCCGCCGGCCCGTTACCTGCGCGCTCCTCCCCCGCTGCCCGCGGGCGGCTCCGCGTCGCCGCCGCCTCCACAACAAAGCCCGGCAGCGGCCGGGGCGGGAGGAGCGGCGGGAGCGCGCAGCGGCGGGGCCGCGGCCCGGGGGCGGGGCGGGTTTGCGGGTGTGTCCTGGTCCCCGCGGAGGGAAAAGCGGTTTCCTTTTGGGGGAGGGAAGAGGAGGGGGGCGGTTAGCACCGGAGCGGGGCCCGGGCGGGCTGGGAACGGTGGTTGCTAGCGAGGGATAGAGAGACGAAGCCTGCCGGGGAGGTTGAAGGAGGGGAACGTCGCGTCGCACGTGTCTGATTTGGGAAGAGGCCACATGGAAGTGGGGTTGAGCCCTGAAATGCTTTAGGAAACCTTCCCGCCGGGACGGTTGCCCTTTGCGGGGTGGGGGGTGGGGGGGTGCGTGGTGTGGCTGGAGACTAAGGGAGATGTGCCATACTTAAAGGAGGCTTTCAGCAAAAGAATTTAATTCTGTTGAGGTGAATTGACTGGGGATTTGCATAGTGGCAGACAATAGTTTCCCAACAATAGCAGAGTTTATTTTTTGAGGGAGCAGGTGTTATGCTACTCTGTAAACATACCTCTACGGAAATTATATGCACTGTGAACATTATTTTTCAGGATTCTTACATAAACCTTTTTTTTTGTTTCAGTGACACCTTCTGCAGAAAAAAAATCTAACCGACCAGTTTCTGCACCCTCTGATCAACTCCAAATTCTCTTTACTGTTGAACTACTGCAGCAAGTCCACATTAATACTAGATTTGCTATTTGTATCAAAGGGAACATGGTACAGGGAGACCTCTGGAACAAAAAAGTAGTGATGTTTCAGCATCTGCTTTTTGATGGTACAGAACACCAGAGACTTTGTGATCCTACTATATTTATTGAGCAGCAGTCTCAAAGAGCCAAACCAAGGGAATTAAGGCAAATGTTAATGAAACATTGAAGTTGAGATTTTAATTACTTAAAGGTCAGCACATTCAAAGTTTATTAATTTGAGGGAGTTATTCTGTGTTCCCACAGCAATCCCCACTCTACTCTTACACAGATCAAAGAATTCAAGTTACTGTTTATTTGCTGATGCATGCAAATTATATAACTGAATTTTATACCTGAATATAATTCCTTTTTGCAGTTATTAACACTTTATTAACACTTCTTTATATATTTGCTATGTTCCCATGCTTCTCAGTGGAAATAAACTGATTATTTTTCTCTAATCTTTGTTTTAAATTGCCACAGGCTACATTTCCTTTCAAGCTCCGAACCTCTATTCAGTTAGCAACATTTGTTGCTAAACTATCACAAAACACTCACAGACACTCTTCAAACTAACATACCAGAACAGTATCGGGACTTTATGAAAATACTATCCCAAATATACTTTTATAAAGTTTTGGCTTCCACACTACCATGGCACCTGCAATCTGTTCTCAAAACAGGAAAATGTGTTTGGGAAGGTTTGAGAAATGATTCCCAGAAAAGCCTGAGAGGGGGATAAAAACACTGTAGGTTCAGAACCTTGTGCACAAACCTCACTTGTAGGCTGTTGAAGGATTTTTCCTTCTCAAAATGCTCCTCATGTAAAAATCATTGGCTTTTTGTTGGCAGAAAAAAAGGATCTTTCCCAGCGAATAAGGTGGACAGTTAAATGAGATTTACCTTGTTTCTAATACGTTCTAATTATTTTGCTTATTTTATTTCCTGATTCTTTTCCTCAGTTTAACAGTAACCATTGTATTTCCATCCATCCAGTCTGGAGAGATGTGATCTGAGAACTCTCACAATACTATCTGAAACAATTTGTCTCTGACTGCACTGCTTTCTGCCACTATGAAATAAGTAATGGCATTTTAATCCCAGTCTAAAATATATTTTGTCTTTAAAGATATTTTCCTCATTTACTAATTAATCTATTTGATTATGTGAATTACATACACCGGAATGCTGGAATGCTATTTTTTCCTGTCAACTATAGGTATTTCCATCCCTATTTTTATAGTAGTCATGTGTGCCTTTATTCACAATGGACTTTTTCCTCAACTTTTTCCCTCTTCCTTGAGGAAATTATGTGTTATTATTATAACAAATGCAGAAATATCTTGTACCTTAAAGGCACCCTTCCAGGACTGGAGGAAAATCGTCACATGTTCTCTTCAACTTTGCTATACTACACATATTCCTAGAGGCAGAGTCATGAAACCCCGATTTTAGCACAATGCTTCCAGTGTGCCTAGGATTCACTGTGCCTAGGATTCTACCTGAAATGTGCTACCTCAAAGGCTTTTAATGAATATCTGGAAGCCCCTCTCTTACTAAACTGTCTATAGACAGCAGATTGCAGTTAAATACCTCAGACATGGAAAACGGAGCATAAATATGCTGTTTAAATGTAAGAAACAGATCTAACTTAATATGTTTCTTAAGGAACAGAGAAAAAACTAGGTACCAACATTTGCCTTAGGTAGCTGTGCTGCAGGTATACATACATGCACCGAGTTACAAATTATCTATGCTTTGAGTTTAGCGTAATATGATGCCCTTGTGAGGCAGCAACAGTCTGTTTTTTTTCAGGGGAGAGAAGATAAAAAATAAGGATGTAAAAACTACCTTTATTTTCCGTCTCTTTTGAAGAGGTGCCACCAAATCAATCCTTCTAGCTCTATTTCAAGGTGCTCAAGATCACACATGGAATTCAGAATTGCTTTGAAGATAACGTGAAGGATTTCTGATTCAAAATGAATATGCTTGTATGTGTTAACACTGTAGGGCTATTAGCAAGAAAGAAAAAAAAATCCCTAATTATCCAGGTGACTGGTTAAACAAACAGTCTAGCACCTTATTCACGAGCCATTTCCTTAAATCCATCTTCTTAAATCTAATAAATGTGCCCTTGAGATCAAGAGTAGCTCTGTTTTGTCTCCCAAACCAATGTAATTGAGCTTGTGTGTACCCCTGATTATTAGAAAAGAAGCAAAGGTTGAGCTCAGAGTGGACAAGCCTTCCCTTGGGGTAGGAGAAATCAGCAGTAGTAGAGGCCGTGGGCTACGTGCAAAAGGAGGAAACAATGCTATTCAGTGTTAGGGGGGAGTTAGGAAGTGGATACGAGGAAAAAATCTTTACAATTAGATACTGGTAACCCAGGGGTTTGACTAGAACAGGGTCAGTGATATATCAGGGAAAATAAAAAAAACCCACCTGCAATACTGCATCTGCTCCCAAATTTTACAGGCTCCAAATCCATAGAAGCATTTAGGTATTCAGTTGGTGATTAAGTACTTACGCTGTAGTTTATTGACCTGAGTGTCATTTTGAATCTGGCTGTAAGTCAGAAAGCCTATGTCTGTACTAGTAAACATAAAGGATCTATGCCCATTCTCTGGCCCTGAGAATAAACGTCCCTGTGTCTGTGTGTTCTGCATCCATACGGTTCAACTGTGTTCGAGCCCGTGCCATCCCCCATGTTGTACCCTGGCATCTTCTGGAAAAGCAGTTTGGCCTTGGCAAAAACAACTTTGGGGACTGTCAGCAACAGCACTGACTGTGTCCCAGCACTCCAGCCCATGCCCTGGCACTGTTCCATTTACTAAGATGGGCCAATAGGTCCGCTTAACACATGCTATCGCCACTCTCCAAGTGACAAAATATCCACGTCCTTTGAACACCGAAGAGCTGGAACCAAAGTCCAAAGGTTTTAAAAGAACAGCGTGCTAACGTGCTTCAGATAGACAAGCCGGTGAGCCAAACGGCCCCACCGGCCCTTCGTAGAAACGGAGCAGCAAGGGATCTGCGGGTGTTAGCTGGGGCTTTGCGGGTGCTAGTTGGGTCCCCGCAGCGCTGGGGAGCAGGACTGCAAGTGTGTGCCGTTCGGCTCCAGCCCCGAAGCGAGCAGTAAGCGGCACAAGCCGGAGGTGACAGGCCATACACACACACCCCCACACCCCCAGCTGGTTGACCGGCCGCCGCAGCCTCGCCTCCCCGCCCCAGCCAGGGCGATCCCAGCGCCGGCCGCCCCCTCTCTGTCCGAGAGAGAGCGGCAGCCGGTGTGGCGGCGGGTAGAGATGGGAGAGCCTGATCCTCCGCCGTGATCGCCCGCAGCTGCGAGCCCGGAGCCGCCCTCTGTCCGCCGACTACTAAAGGCCGCTGCGCTCGCGCCCCGCCCGGCCTTGCTGCGGCCTCCCCCCCCACCCCCCGCAGATAACAGCTGCTCCCGCCTCCCCCCCCCCGGCTCTTCCCCACCCGCCCAGCGCGGAGTCGGCCCGGGTTCGGCAGCTGCTCTGTAGGCACCGGCTGCCTCGGTGGGAGGATGGCTCGGCAGCCCGGGGGCTTTCTGCAGGAGGCCTCTCACCAAATCGTCGCCGGCGGCTCCGCGGGTAAGCGGGCGCGTTCCTTCTGGGCGGGGGAGGGTCTGCCCGCCACCCCCCCACCCCGTCGGCGCTCCGCCAGGCTGAGGGGAAGGCAGGCGCGGTACCGCTCCTTCCCCGCTCTCCTCGGGCGTGGGAGCGGCAGCGGGGAACAGCCTGGCTCGGCGGCGGCTCCTCCCCCGCCGGGCGGCGCGGGCGGGCCCCGGGAGCGGCGCGGCGAGAACTTCTGTAACGGTGGTCGGCTCCCCCCCCCCCCGGGGGGTGGGTGAGGGTGGTGTTAGGGGGCACTTCCCCGGGGCTGCCGTGTATCTCCCTTAAACACACCCTACGGCCCCTGGGGTGATAAGGGTGGCAGGCGGCCCCCCCTTCAACGGAAAGAGCCGCTCTGGGGGATGGCTGCCGGCCTTCCCTCCCCGGAGGGCCCACGGGAGCTTCCCCGGCGGCGCGGCTCTGCGGGACGGAGAACGGGGTTCCCTCCCCTCCGCTGAGGCCGGCCCGGGGGCTCTGCGCCGCTGCCTCGGAGAAACCCAGGCAGGGCTACGGGGGAAGGGAGTGTTTGTGGGGTTTAAATACTTTTGGGAGCGTCGAGGTTGTTAACTCGTCACTTTATTGTATTGCAAGCTGTAAATGTCAAAACCGTGTGGGTCTGTGTAGCAATAGAAGCGTTGCTCGTTAACTTAATCAGTTTCCTTTCCCTAAATTGGAATAAATCTGAAATACTTGTCATCTTGCAGTTGTAGAAATGCTTACACAATATCCTGCTCTTGCAGTGTATATTTGTAAATCATGTTAACATTTCAATTATGTAGTGTGTTTTCAAGTGTTCTTTAGTGCTTCTTTTGGGGTCCAAATGCTATTTGTCATATCAACTTTTAACTGATAGAGGAAAGTTACATGATGATGTTGCTGTGTCTTAGGTAATGCTTCCATGTAATGTGTATAAACAAAATTCTCCTGTGGGTGAGTCCTGTTTGGCTGTGACGCTACATGTGAGCTGGTGCTTTGTTCCCTCTAATTCCTCTGCTGCCCCTAAATCCACTTTTATGCATTCCTGACACCAACACACATCTGAGTGCTTCCTTTGCATGCTCGTGACTCTACCCTTTGTTTTCTGCCTCCTGCTTTGTCACAGAGAGATGTCACAGCAGAATTGAAGTCTGCTGTCCTGCTCCTGCCAGTGTATTGTATGACTGCATAGCTCTTCTGCAGCCTTGAACATTGTAAAGCTTTTTTTACATTATACTTGGTACCATCCCCCTCTTCCCTTAGGAGGGAGAGGAAAGGTTTAATCTGTACTTGCCTGTTGAAGGCCCTTCATACCTGAAGGGCGACTGAGGTGTTTTGCCACCAGATGTTTTGCAAGATGACACATTTATCTGCCCATAGCAATGGGCCTGTGCCTTAGTGATTCAGATTGACGTATCTCAGTATCTTCCCATCCTTTGGCAGTAGCCTGTTTTCTTTACGGACTCTGTTCATATAAGAACAGATAGTTTGGCTAACACACTGGAAAGAAAATTGAGACTTAGATAAAGGTGAAGTTTTATGGAAGGACTAGACTTGGGAAGAATGTGTTTGAGGGTGGCATAGGGAAAAGACAGCATGAAAAGTATTTGCTGATCTGGTAGGCATAAACGTTAAGGTGAGAAAAGTCTCATTTCAAGGAGATGACTGATTTGCACCTAACACTTTTTTAAGGTATAATGTGGGAGGTCTGTTGTATGGAGTCCAAAAGCATGCTGTTAAAAGATGCTGGCATCTTTTTGCTTAGTGTCCTGTCCAGTAAGCAGGTTTCTTAGCTCCATTACTAGCCTTAAATCTGTGAAGAAATTCCTACTCGCTGGTTTTGAAATAAACCAGTAAGGACTCTTCTCTAGGTCTGAGCAACACTGAAATTGTACCAGAGGGGTTGGTGAATATATGACTTGAAGTGGGAGTTCCAAGGTATTAGAGGGAAATAGCTCAAACTTGAAAACTTGCTTGACAGATGCTTAAACCTCAATGGTGATTTATAGAGAAGATCAGAGGAAGGCTGTAGCTTTGCAGTCTTCAGTCTAAAGGTTAAATTTCTCAGGCAAGTGTGGATCCAACATGGTGGAGGTGGAAGCAGGGAAAAAATGATAGGAGGTATGAGTTAGAGTGTACTTAGTATTTAATCCTAGTGAAGGATTTGGTTGCCTGACCTTAGTTTCCCAGTATCATTTCAGATACCCTATGTTGCTTTTGGCTGCCTCTCCAGAAGGACATAGGGCTCTTGTAGGTGCTTTGTCATTTTTACTGGCCTCATGTGAATGTCACAGATATCCCGGTGTGGCTTTGCCTGTACCACAGCCTGGTAGTTAGAAGGAAACTGGAAAACATTGTGGTGAACTAACACTTAGACTTTTAAGAAAGTCCAATCATCTGTGCTGGGTTTGAGTGTGTAGTGGGGGTTTTTGGTTGTGGGGGAGGAAGCTACAGCAGCGGACCCTGTGAGAAGCTTCTTTGAAGCTCCCCTGTCTCCAAGTCAGACCCACCTCTGCACCAAAGCTGAGCCAATTTGTGATGGTGGCTGTGCCTCTTCAATAATGTACTTAAGGGGAACCTGGGAGGAGGAGTTGTGAGGAATACACCTGTGTGAACACCAAGGTCATTGGAAGAAAGGAGGAGGAAGAGGAGGGAGGTGGGCTGGAGTACCCCCTCCTGCAGCCTATGGTGAGATGTCACAGCTTCCCCCCCTGCCCCCCACCCATGGATACCCACAGTGGAGCAGATGACAGCCTGTGGAGGACCCCATGCCCCAGCAGGAGACTGTGCCTGAAAAAGGTGGGACTCTGGGAAGAAGCACTTGCTGTTGTAGTTCAGCCCTGGGAGGATTGCAACACTTCAGGGTGACCCACACTGGAGTAGCTCGGGGAGAGCTGCAGCCTATGAAGTGGACTCATGTCAAAGTTTGTGGAGGACTGTCTCCTGTGAGAGGGGAACCATGCTAAAGCAGGGGAAGAATGCTGGGAGTTGTTCCCCTTACCCCTGAGGAGGAAGAAGCTGGGGGAGGAGGTAGAGATACTGGGAGCAAAGATGAGCCTGGGAAGAAGGAATGGGTGTGGGGGAGGTATTCTTAAGATGTGGTGATGCTTCTCACTGTCCTGCTCTGTTAAGTGATGTTGTTAGTGTCTGAATTATGTCCTTTTTTTTTCCCCTAATGAATCTGTCTCTTGCTTGTGACCATAATGTGTGAGTCGTCCCTCCCTGTCCTTACCTCGATTCCCAAGCCATTTACTTTATTTTCTCTTTCCCAGCTCTGGGGGCTAGAAGGGAATGAGTGGCTGTGTGGTGCTCAGTTGCCCTCTGACCTCCAACTATGACATTATCTTAACTGATACAGTTAAGCACAAGGCATCTATGAAGCTATTGTAAGAAAGATGCTGTAAGTTGGTGTATTTGTCAAAACAATGATAGGAAAGTAGCGAGGTAGTTGGGAATGAACTGTGCAGCAGAATAGGTGTAATTGAAGGGTCAGAAATACTGTCTGCCTAAGAGGTTATTTTGCATCTCCATGTCTGATGCAAAAGGATCTGAAAAGTGGGTCTACTAGCTTGAGTGGAAAATGATTAGAGATAAGCCTGAACTGTCAGAACAGGAAGAAAGGGATTTTTGACCTTTTATGGAAGGCAGGACTTGTTCATGTCATAAAGACAGGGAAAGAAAGAAATGAAGCATGACCCCCAGTCTACAGGACTGATAAAATGGAAGATACTGGCATGCTGAAGGAAGGAAAAATGAAAGTTGTAAAGAAAAAGATTTAAACGTATCATTAGATGTCTGAGGCATTTTCAAGTTAAACTTGAGTAGTGCTCTGCTGTAATTGAAATGTAAAACTCAAGCATGACAGGATCTCGTGTGTACTTCATATCTGTGGCAAGGGGTGCAACTGCTTCTGTGTGGCTTGTAATTTGTCTTAGTATTAAATTGAAAGCTCTGCTTCCTGAAGGTGAACTCAATCTGAAACATGAACAAAGTCTTACTTGGTCTTGGCTTATGTTCTTTCTGCTGGCATTCAGTTTGCTCCCATCTTTCAGATTCCCGAATTGGAGGTTAATAGCATAATTGAAAAGATTTGATTTTGTTTGCTTGCCTGGGTGTATGGCAATAGTGAGGAACAGGGCTTTGATTGAAATGTAATTGGGACACTTCGTTAGTAAGCTTGGTCCCTTCTAGTACGGTGAACTGCAGGCATACTCCTTTTCTCTAGTGGTTAATTAGTAAACTAAGGTATGTGTGGAATTTATAGGAAAAAAAGAAGCTCTCCGAACTGTAAGAATCCCTGTGAAAAGAACAACTTGAGAATCTTTGATTGATTTCCTTAGATTTATAGCAATTTTTCAAAAGGCTGTTTGAGAAGTCTAGTCAATGCAGGATTCAAGTCCCAGGTAGAATTTTTTTTTCTCTGATGCACAAGGATCAAAAAATCCTTCGTCTACCTGTATTGAATACCGTAAAGTATGTTGTGTGATAGCCAGGTTGATTTACCAAGACATCCTTGTAACAGAGCCTTGAGTCAGTTTGAATGATGAAGTGCAAATGTAGTCATAAGCAGTTGCACAGATGACCCTTGGCTGAGTGAAGGGAAGTAGCTGAATATAGTTATCCTGGAGGTTTTAGGATGCTGGTACTTGATACAGATGTGTTTGTTCTTTAATAACAAAAGGCTGCAGATGAAGACAATTAGCGAACACCACAGGTAACATAATTATAAATTAATTCATATTTAGTGTGTGTTCACCCCTCTTTCTTCCATGTATTTGCAAATAAATAACATATAAACATTTAATTTTGAGGTTAAAGTTTTGAAGGATTTATTTAATATACGTAGTAGGTGATGAAAAACATGTTGTCTTTGTATTTAAATTTAACTTATCTTTAAGTACTTTTCTGCTGTAATTCAATGTGTTTCTTTTCCTAATTTCACTTAAATGAGCATGGACTATTGGTTCCCTTATTGCTAAATGAATATGGGAAAGTCAGAATAA